AGTTTGTTTCGTTTTTTTTTTTTTTTTTTTTTTTTTTCTTTTGGTATCTGGAATCGAAGTCAGAACCTCGTGCTTTTGAGACAGGGGTGGTGTTACTGAGCTAAATCCCTGGCTCTAGACCTCTAATTTGTGCAGCACATCATATAGTTTTCTATTAACTACTACAACCCTATGAGATAAATATTAGGATGTTGCCATTTAGGTAACAAATTCTCAAGATCAACAGCAATAAAAATCACAGAGCTGACTCTAAGACCTCTCAGACTTTTCCTTCTTTCTTTTTTTAAACAAGATTTCACTCTGTAATACAGACTGGTCTTGAATTCACAGCAATCCTCCTGCCTCACCCTCCCAAGTGCTAGGATTACAGGTGTGCACTGTCACGCCCTGTTCCTACCTTTTAAAAATCTTTTTTTTTTTTTGAGACCGAGTTTCATGTATAATTCAGGCTAACCTTGAACTCACTGTGTAGTTCTGGCTGATCTCAATCTCACAGGGATTCACCTGCCTCAGCCTCCTGAGTGCTAAGATTACAGACATTGTGCCCTCATGCCTGACTCATACAATGTTCTTTCTTTTGAGTCAGGGTCTCATTAAGTTGCTAAGTTGCCCAAACTGGGCTTCAACTAGAGATCTTTCTGCCTCAGCCTCCAGAAGTGCTGGGATTACAGGTGTGCGCCACCACTCCCAGCTCTCTCCCTTCATTGTGTAGGTCATTAACACTTCATGCTTGTCCTTGTTTTGTTTTTGGAGCTCCCAGGTATAGGCCAATTCATACTTGATTGTAGGTGGGTTATATTAGTCACACAAGACGATGGAGCTAAGAACTAATGCACAAATACTCGGGTGACCATTGTCCTCATATCATAGTGCGGTGCCCTCTACATTGTGTGTAACTCAGCGACTTTCTATCACTGCCTTCTAGTGCCAGGATTTAGCTCAGGGGTTCCACCACCTGCCTCACAAGGGCAAGGTTTTGAGTTCGATCCCTGGTACCCAAAAAAATGTTAAAAATAAAATTTGGGCCCGGGATTTAGCTCAGTGATGCCACGGCCTGTCTCTGTCATTGCCGCCTTCTACCTTGCAGAACCCCTGACACACTTCTGTGCTGTACTTAATCTAAGTGTTTCTTACAGAGTAACACGTGTAGAGGCATTCTTCCTGCAAGAAAGACAGTTATTCCTTGGCTGGAGACAGCTCAGTGGTACTTCAAGGCTCAGAAAACACTACCCCAGAGTACTTGGGACTAAATGAAATCCAAAGGGCTTCAGAAATAAAAGGCTCAGCCATGCATAATGACCCACGCTATAATCTCAGCAGTCAGGAGGCTGAGGCAGAAGGATTGCTGGGAGTTCCAGGCCAGCCTGAACTACATAATGAAACCCTGTTTCAAAAAAGAAAAACTAAAAGATTGTTTGAAATGCTTCTGCCTTTCTGTGTGAGGTCTGCTCACAAAGGAAAATCCTTGACCTTGTCTGAAATAGGTCATCAGACCATATCCAGAGGATCTTCCTCTGAGCCCAAGAAAAAGGAAACAATGCCACAGATAGGCCAAGAAAGATTGCCAGATTTCCGCTTTGGTGTGTTAGCATGAGTTCATAATCTTTTTTACTTATGTATTTTATTCGAGACAGGGGCTTACTCTGTAGCCCAGGCTGGCCTTGAATTTGTGACCCTCCTGCCTTAGCCTCCCCAGGAGTGGGCCTCTTCGTCTAGCTAGTTCAAACTCTTTCATCCAATCCCATTTCTAAACATCTACCCCCATTCAATCCCAAACATAAAAATAGATAAACTGGCTCATGCTTGTAATCCCAGCCCTGAGGGAGGCAGAGGCAGTAGGATTACAAATTTGATTCCCACCTGGACAATCTATTGAGACCCTGTATCAAAAACAAACAGGGCCAGGGATTTAGCTCAGTGGTTCTGCTGGCTGCTTCAAAGTGCAAGGTCCCAAGTTCGATCCCCCATACCAATAACAAACAAACAAACAAAGCCCCAAATCCTAGTATGGTGGTACATACCTGCCTGTAATCCTAGCACTCTGCAGGCTGAGGTAGGATTATCGCTATGAATGCAAGTTCAGCCTGAACCACAAATGAAAGTCTGTCTCAGAAACAAAAGCAAAAGTCTTCTCTGAGTCTCCATGTCTGAAGTTGCACATATCAATACTTTGATTAAATTAATGTACTATGCTGTTTCTTTTTGTGGGGGTCAGTGATCCAGCTAGAGGTGAACCCAGGACCTCAGCTATGGTGAGCAGCTGCTTTGCCACTGAGCTGTATGCCCAGCCAAGAGGATTTTTGGTATGAAAGATGGAGGAGCCAGGCTTGGGGCCTCCAGTGAATAATCCCAGCACTCTGGAGACAGAGCCATTCAGGCTGTGATTAACAGGGCTACTGCACTGCATGAACCTTCTCCCAAGAATGGGAATACAAAAGAGGAAGAGAATACAAAAAGGGAAGTGGTAACTCACTGATAATATGTTTGAGAATAACGACTGTTTACATGTTTGTTTGTTTTGAGACAGTCTCCCTACATAGCCGAGGCTGGCCACAAACTCCTGGTAATCTTCCTGCCTCAGCCTCTACAAGAGCCAAAGGTGCACACCATCTGCCCTCTGGCTGATC